GCCACTCTAGAAATTGTATGAAATAAATACAAGTATTGACAATAACTTACCGACAAGAAATACAAACAATAAGTACAATTCCAACCAGCAAGAGCTTCTTGAGTAAGTTCTCACAGTAGTTGGAAAACAGCATTATTAAAACCAAAGATGTCTTCTCCCTGCTTATGAAGTTTACCTCAGTTGGTTGTTAAGAAAGAGGCCGATGCCTTTGAGGGTCCTATCAGTAGTTACCTGTTGTCATCAAGAAATTGAACACCGAGAAAAATTATTCAGAAACACCGTGTGAGCCTTTTAACGCATCCGCTGCCTATTAATTATTGCTTAAAAACGTAGATGCTTTCAGCTGCCATGAAAACGGATTTTTTTTTTCAAATTCAAAATGATACAGAGCAATAAATACAGGTTAAAATAATAGACGAATATAACATCCATTATTGTATGGTCGTAGCATAGTATTTTTATTTTCCAGGAGAGGAGACCATGCTAAAAGGGAACTGATTATTATAAATTAATTCGACGCAAAACGGAAATAAAACGCTTATTTTTGTATGTGTTTATACAAACGCAAGTTATAACAATTACCTTTTATTTTTGCCCGTCGATGTAATCGAACTGTACATAAATATATAATTCAATATGTTGGATTTTTTATTTTCTTTTAAATTCTGGACTCCTTTCTTCCTCAAGAACAATTTCAAGACTATGCCTTCATGCCTAATGTTTGCTTGATGACCCTGATCAGGTCGACTTTCATAGTATACAATTCGTGAATAATATTACTAGAAGTTCAAGTCCGTTGTCAAAATTCAGCCAAACGTTACTTGTTGTTGTCGTACTGTAACTCACTTCCAAATAAAGGCTCACCGTTAAGCACACAACCGCTTAATTCCTATATCACCAATCATAAGTGCAGCCCAATGAATATTGGAAACCTTTTAAAGAAGAAAACCTATTAATAAACTTATCATTAAAAAATTTAATCCGTTTGTCTTTGCCGCTACTCGAGCGTAAAATTAATGAAAACTACCTTCTTTCATGCACAATGGAAGTGAATTTTAGAGAAACCTTGCTCTGTTTTTTTTTCGGATTCATTGAAAACGTTTTCGCACTTTAAGCAAATAAAGTTACTGTGAAGATATCTATATTCAGTTAAAAGAAAAGGCTGAACTGACAAAAATATTAACTACCTCGCGTGTGCACTGCTTATTACGTATGCAAGAATGAAGAAATGAATCTGATAATGACGAGAACTAATGGATTGAATTGTCAAATAATAAATATATAAATTAATAGAATCTGCTGGGGTACGCTTCATCTGAGCTGACTGAATGGTACAATCACGCACACCTATGTAGCAATTGACTCTATGAATACTGTCGCTCAGCTAATCCGATATGATCTGACACATATTTTGACATTAAAAATGTCTTCGTAAAGCATCTTTATGTTTCTTTACCTGGAACCTTTTTTGTATATGTCTGTCTAGAAATGATCGAGAAAACATAAAGTTTTAATTCAACCTAGTGCTAATGATTCCTGATCACCGTAATCTGTAGACTTCGCCTAGCCTAAATGCGGAGCTCCTGTCCAATACTTATCTCAACTGTAATTTTAATACTAATAATTCTAACCCATTAATTGATAGCAAACTGGGATAGAGTTATATTCGACCAAAGAGAAACACAAACATATACAAATCTACTCTTATGTACAGTGCCCATATGAAAAAAATTTGAAAAAATGTAATAGTTCGATGGTTTCGCGTCCCCTCCAGATAGATTATCGAATTGTCTTACCCAAGGGCTCCACGTACGTTGTCGTTCCTCGGTAATTGTTCCCGCGATTTAAAGCCCAGAGATGATTTATACTTTTAATTAAATGGACGCGGCCTAGTGGACCACGACATTCATTTAATATAGAGGCTAGGCAATGTCGGCTTCCAGCTAGGCGAATTTGACATTTACTAAATATAGTTAAATATATTATGCATTAAATAGNTATCGAATTGTCTTACCCAAGGGCTCCACGTACGTTGTCGTTCCTCGGTAATTGTTCCCGCGATTTAAAGCCCAGAGATGATTTATACTTTTAATTAAATGGACGCGGCCTAGTGGACCACGACATTCATTTAATATAGAGGCTAGGCAATGTCGGCTTCCAGCTAGGCGAATTTGACATTTACTAAATATAGTTAAATATATTATGCATTAAATAGTGAGGCACGATGAGACCTTCATCCTCTCCTGCTGTTGATATACCAGTGTATTTCAAATTAATAAATGACGATCAGAGATCATTTCATCAAGGCAACGGCCCTTATTGATAGCGGTCACCTTTTAGTAAGTTTAGTAACACAAAATACTGTGGAGTGAAGGAATTGACCACTTCAGAAAATATCACAACATACCATAATGCTCTTTGTTTGTCACCCCAAAATTTTGCATAAGCATTGTTTTCAGTTTCTCTTGGGCCCATCTTACATCCCAAGAGAACCTGAAGACAAAGCTTATGCAATATTTTGGGGTGATAAACAAGAGCATTATAGTATGTTATGGTATTTCTGGAGTGGTCAATACAGAAATTCTTATTTACTTCTCATGTAATAATTAAATACTATGTTTGTATTACCATTTTTGGGATTAATTTTTTTTTTGAGGCGCAATCTGCTTGTTTTCCGATAACGCAATATTCTCACCGTTCTGAAAGTCGGTGTCTTTATATTCACCCCAAATCATGTTTTATTATTAGCTTTTATCATGTGTTAAGAAAAGATATAGGACCGTTGTTTTTTACACCTAGTCCAAATAAACCCACAGGGACTTACTGCAAATCGCCGCTTTAATCCACCTAAAGAGCGAGCCTTACAGATTAATTAGTGACGAAACACAACTTGAAGTTATGGACTCAAAATTATTCGAACTGAAGCCACTCAAATAATTAAAAAAACCTACTGAGTTTAAAAGCTGATACTCGATTTGAAATCCAACGTAAGCCACAACTTATGCTCGAGCATAATTTTTTCACTTATGACAAATAACAAACCCCCAACATCTGGTTATAATAAATGCAAGTAGAGCTATGATCTACATTTTTATAAATCTTATGATACACCCGACATGTCAATAGTTGCCATTGTGATCACAAATGCCGGATTTCTGGCGTTTGAAATTTGGANCCACAACTTATGCTCGAGCATAATTTTTTCACTTATGACAAATAACAAACCCCCAACATCTGGTTATAATAAATGCAAGTAGAGCTATGATCTACATTTTTATAAATCTTATGATACACCCGACATGTCAATAGTTGCCATTGTGATCACAAATGCCGGATTTCTGGCGTTTGAAATTTGGAGGACTTCAACGATTTCTTCGTCTCTTCTGTAGGATCCTCGCCTCAGGCCGGTTTTCATTAAAGCGATTAGAGAGCTATAATCTTCATTGTTATAAATCTTGGAAATTTTACACGGTTCAGCAGTGAAACTCTCAAAGCATGAATATTACGTCAAACGGATAGTGATGACTTCGATCCATTGGTCACAAGAAGATCTATGAAACGAGGATCTGAACTTCCTTACACCTCTATCATCCATACGTTTTTAACAAATTTCACATTAGTAGGTACTAACAGGTTTGTAACTTTGTTTGATCCGTTGTATCTTTCCTACCTTTTTCAAGAACTTCTTGGTTCGCTTGAACAAAATTGTCTCTGAATCGTAACCCAGTATAAATGTTTCATACTGTGATGTGTGGTTAAAGAAGGTCAAAATTCACAATAAATCGAAGGCAAACAGGAAGTCTATCGCTAAGAAAAGCTTCAAATTAGTTATAAATTAAATATTAAGACACGAAACCACAATTGTTTGTAGGACTAGCAGCGCCTTTCAGTCTGACCAAAAACAGAAGGCATCACGCTTTTATTAATATCATAAGCTGGCTATTTAATAATGTCATCACACCTTTTTGTCTTTTATTGTCTCCAATCAGTGGTCCCGTTTTTTTTGTTTTTTTTTTCGACCTTGTAGTAATGAGCCAATTGCGGAAGATACCAGACCTTTTTAAACTGTAATTTAGGTACATTGTAGAGCTTTATGTAAATCTGACTTGAGCGTTGGCTTTTGTTCTTTGCAACAATATAGCAACTGTCTTCTTGCTTGCTAGAACAGCAAAATCATGGGGTAAGTGGAAGTAAGTTCAGACTAAGTTTAGAAAGCTTGTGCTGGCTAGAAACTGACTTTTTCTTTTCTTAAAAAGTCCTTTCAGTTTACTTCCCTCTTCCATTGTGGAAAGTTTCCTGAACCCAAACCTCAGAAGTAGTAAACTATAATTTAGCTCATGTTAGCACAACTGCGCAAGGGTTTGCATGCAAGTGTGCTGAGGCAGGGTATGCGTATGCGTTGAGAAGCTGATGAGTTAAACGCGCAGTGCAGTCATCTGATTGCAAAGAGTAAACGTGGTAAAAGGAGGAGTGGTTGACCAACCCTCAAAACATTTTAATGTATTTTTTGTATTGTTTGTTTGTTGTGTTTTTTTTTTTGGTATTCTTATTTTGGAGCAATGACAACATTAAAAAGATATCCTGTGGTTAGCGCCAAAAGACAAGGCAAACATTAGGGGATGTGACGCTGGTTAGGGACAGTAACGTCATTCAAACTGGCATATTTCACTGTATGGTGAAACTGAAATTCAGATTGAGTTTTTGAATCTAACACAATGTTCATCATGCGTGGGTGCTTAAATGATACAGGCATAAATGACTTGAAGCTACAACATTATATCATAAACTAACTAAGATTTCATTGCTTTTTGTGCTGTATAATATTAAATTGGCGTTATTCAATATTTCGTACCCAAGACGGCTTTCGCATGATTGGCCAAGACTTGCGTAACAGATAAATGAAAAGCTACTATACAGAGAAAAACCTTCTTTTGAGATTATTTGCGGAATGAAGGGGTTGCATATATCCCCACCGTGAACGCCTAAGGATCCCTTTAAGCCTACATATCGCGTGCACTTTCAGGAAGCACCCGAATGTCATAGACGTATGCAAACCAGTAAAAAATATTAAACAAGAGAAAAGCAGAAGGAAACAAGTAACGGGATGTTATATCGATTCTGTCACTTAGGCTAATTTCTTCAGCTTGCTTGCATATTTTTCCTTGCCCGTGTTTAATATGGTTGCCATTGTGATCACAAATGCTGGATTTCTGGCGTTTGAAATTTGAAGGAGCTTCAATGATTTCTTCTTCATCTATTCTGTAGGATCCTCGCCTCAGGCCGGTTTTCATTAAAGCGATCAGTCGGCCAGAGAAACGTCTCTTTTTCTGCAGGAAATGAAGTATAAAGAAAAAAAACATTTAAAAACAAACAAAACCGCCAACAAATACACAAATAGTGCAAGCCTGTTTTACGCTAACGGTAGGAGGGGCAAGAAACAAAATTGTCCGCTTGCTTGTTCATTTTTCTAAACGTTTTAATTATAACCTTAAATGCGTCTGGCAAATGCGTCTGGAAGTTTGCGGAATTTTTATTCTGCAAGTTTACGAATGATGCCCATCATAAGAGAACAACTTTTTCCAACTATTCTAAATTAGGTCAGTGCCAGACGGCTATGCAGAATTAGATGAATGCTGAAACGCCAATCAGGAACAACGAAAAAAATACATGAATGACAGATAATGTTGCTCAACCAGTTTTAAACTTAGCTACTGGCATTGGCATCAACAAAATAAAACTATTCAGCTGTCCATACCTTGCTCCTCAGTGAAAACGTACTTTTCTTGTTCTCCCTCTTTCCGCCGTCGATACGAAAATGAAAGACAAACATGCATTCCACGAGAGCGGCAAATATGAAAGCGAACGAAACCATTAGATACCAGTCTATGGCTTTGGCATAACTAACCCGAGGAAGAGATGTATTTGCCGAACCCAATAGAAACACGATTGTTAGAATGGTTGTTACGCCAACGGCCATACGAGTATTCATGTCCTACAAAATAAGGATGATAAAAAACATGTATAGCCATACGTATGACTGTGTCATTTACTCTTTGAGGTCAAGGGCATTTTGTAACCTCTGCGTCCTGCGTCCTTGACGCATAAGAATCCCAAAATACGCAAAAATAATTAAGGGCATGCGTCCTGTGGACGCAAAGATCAGTCTGAAGATGTATATTGTGGAATATCCTGTTCGTGTGATTCCTGTAGCCATTCTTGTGGCTGTTTACAGACGCATGTTTCTTTAAGTCTCCGTTGTGCTTTACAAAAGAAGGAGTTTTGGAGCCTGTCTTCAGATTAATTGTCTGGGTGCATCCCAAGAATTTTCAATTTAGGAGTTATTGTATTTTGAATTGGGCCGCAATAATTCTGGTTATCACTAGATTGGTCTCAGGAACTCACAATAACTATTTGTAACAGAATCACTGCAGGAGTAACCTTTTTGAGCAATAACGAAGAAACCTCAAGTCCAAAAGACTTACATTCTTGTCCACCCAAAATAGAGTCCAACTGATGGCAACCACAAGAACATCTGGAGCGTAAACCTGCATGACGTAATAACCTATACTGCGGTGGAAGGTAAAACTGACTGACAGCATCGTAAAGTTTCCTGAAAGTGACAAACAGCAATAGCATCTTAGAGGCACTTCGAGTTGAGTGCTTAAAGCAAATTTTGCTACTTGTGCACGATGTTAAAGCTAATTTTCAAAAACATGTCCGGTTACAAAGCCCTTAGGCGCTAACTTAGTAAACATAATTATTCTCTGATGTCATGGGTGCGTCCAAACCTCAACACTGAATTGTAAGGTTTTGGGGTCCGCGGGTGCTTTAGGTATTTTATCGTGATTGTTATTGTTATCATCATCACCATTATCATCATCATCATCATCATCAGTATCACTATCATTGTCCTTATCGTCATTGTTATCGTTGTCGTAGTCGTTGTCGTTGTCGTTATCATCATTATCTGATGAACAGGTCGGGTAATCACTAGCAGTATGAGCAAAACATTAGTTTCACATATAAATCTTGCACAGCGTTTATGAAGAAGAAATAGGCTGTTATCATCCAATGTAGCTCTGGCATCTAGATGTTGATCAAGGTTGAACAAGTATTTACCCGTGATGTACTGCTCTACTGTTTTGCTTAAATGAACCTCCTCGTTCTGAAACTGAGCGACTGTTTTCTTTTCAATTTCCACATTGTCCTTCGCCCACCAGTAGACAATATCTGAAGTGTTGTACGCATCTGCGATCATAAAGGCAACAAGTTAATACTATTTAACAAAGGTTTCTGCAATGCATAAATTATGAAATTAAATGCAACGGCGTGCTTGAACGTTCATATGCATTAGTTTGAACTCGTTGATAATGGTTTGGATGGGCCATTAAACTGGCCACTCATGAGACCCGACAAGCCTACATGCTGAACAGGCCACCCGGTTGAAATTATAGTTAGCTATCCGTCAATTCATCCATCCATTGTTCAATCACCTACCCGTCCCTCCCTCCATCTCTTCATTTATTCCGAGTCAGTCAGTCAGTCAGTCAGTCAGTCAGTCAGTCAGTGAACCAGTCCGTCATTAGTCATCAGTCTCTCAGAAGGTCATCTGTTCATTCACTCCTTCGTTCATTCGTCCAAATTTGCCTGCTAACAATATATAACAGGTTGCTCACTTACAGCTTATAAATTTAAGAACACACTCCTGGTGATCCAATGGAAAATCCTGCAGATTCATTTCACAGGACGCAATAATGTGAATTCTGAAGCAAAATAAAGAAAAAAAAAGATAGGAACTAAACACACAAGATGTCGATGTTATTTTAAGTATACGTCCTTCATACATCTATTCATCTTTTGTCAAGGAATTCATTCAGAAGTTCCTTCAACAACTCGCACATTTGCTTAATTCGACAATGTCCGTAGCTGCTTACAGGAACAGTCCTCTGGCTTACAGGAATCTTTAAATCGTGCAGAACATGTCTTGGGAGGGTTGTTCAATACTCACAAATAGACAGCATTGGTGTTAGTGGTGATAAGAAGGGAGTCCATTGGTACCAGTGGTAGGATTGGTACCAATAGAAAATGATGTCATTCCAGTGGTTCTTTTGGTTAATATGCGTCTCATTAAGGGGACTTGGATTATTCTCTCGTGTGGCCTGGCTAGGTACAGGGCAATTCCGATGGTCCATTGGTACCAATGGTTCAATTGGTTTTCACCCCCATGTAAGGGAACCCAAGGCAGTCTTGGATTCTGGACTCTACGCAATGGATTCCGGATTCAAGGTCTTTGTCAGTGGGACTTGGATTCTGGATTCCAATCGCCATAGGGATTCAGGATTTCTTTCTTGAGCGGTATTCCGGATTCCAACGCCCATGATTGCGGAAGCAAAAATTTCCCGAATTCCGGAATCTGTATTCCCTTACATCGAGTGAGCTTTTCTAGGATGGTTTCTGGATGGTTTCAATAGGAGCTTTCATTTATGTGGAGAGTATTTTTTTGCGGGTGTACGACCGAATTTGTTTGTTTATTTTATTTTATTTTTAATTCGCCTATGCCAAAAATTGAAGGTGGGTCAATTTAACGTCCTTTATTAGTTTTGATTTTGTCCTGTTTATGACAAAAATTTACAAACCGTTGGGTGAAGAAAACGCTGCCGTTAATATCAACCCTCATGGCGGACTCGCTATCAGACGCACTCGTTTTGAGGTTAGACTGCCGGGTGTTAACACAGTATGTGTCAGGTGTCCAGGCGTGGTCAATTGCGGTATTCCTCAACACTAATGTTTGGTTTAACTTTCCTGCCAAGCGCTTGTCCACCCAACTTTGACGAAAATAGCCAAAGACTGTGTATTCCTGCAGTCAACAGATAATAAGTAATTGAGCTAATACAAGTAACTTGATTGTTAGAGTGCAGTGTCATATTGTACATAAAGACGGCTATATCTTGCAGATGGGCTCCTATAAGGACAGCTAAAACTACTGTCAAAGGCTATTGTCCATGCCTGCCACAACCAAATTAGAATGGCTCTAGCGGGCGTAGCGGCGGCTGGATTAGCTCAGACAGTGGATTAAACTTTGGCGAGGTTAGGGCAGTCAGTGTACCGCTGATCTTTACTGCATTGGGAAAAGAAAGTATCGCAAACGGCTAGACCTTCTCGTGGCTTAGTACCACGTAAGAACAACGGTCCGTCCCCAGTGTTTGAGACGAACAAACAGTGTCCTACTAGCACTTATACCCATGAAAGGATGATGATGAAGTTATGAATATATGAAAATCATATACGAGAACTGAGGAGTGAAGAATTATATGAAAGAAGAACTTTTGCAGTAGCGAAAAGAAAGCCAGAAAAATTTCTTTTCGCAATTGCAAAAGTTGCGTCTATAACTGTGATGATCTTCTTTCATATAATTATATGAATTGAAAGTAGAAAGTGAAGATAAAAAGCGTTTTTAATGAATAAATAATGTAATATAAGAAAGTTGGTAAAAAGGATGCACCTACCATGTCGGCCTCCTTTATGTTTCCAAAGGATTCCACATACAGGTCCACCATTACATTTAAAGGGCCACCTGTAATTGATGAACACAAACAAAGCAGCGTAAAGACCATGTAAGAGCTAAGTCAACTTGGGACTCGGGTTGATTTATACGAACCGTTTGATTATCAAGTGTCGCGATCGACTGAGAGAACTATTTGGACTATCACCATCCGTGTCAGAGTTTATTTCTTTCATACTAGTAATAATAATAATAATAATAATAATAATAATAATAATAATAATTTAAAAATAATAATAATAATAATAATAATAATAATAATAACATTTATTTATACCGCGCAAATTCAACTATACAGTTTTCAAATGTGCCTTACAATTAAAAATTACACGAGTGAATAATTATCTAGTCTATAAATTACAACATTATATCAGAAAAGATATATATATCATACTAATCAATGAATCGAAACTTGCAACTTTTCTGGACTAAGTAGCAAGTTGTAGTCAACAATGCTAGGTAAACCTAAAGAAACTTTTAAATCAACATTCTGAGATTGAAGCAGATCTAATGAGAGCTTTCTGTCAATGAGTACAAATACACGAGCAGTTCAAGAATTCTGGATCAACGTCCAAAATTCATGTACAAGAAACTTATTTCAGTCCGATATTCGAAATATAAAAAATATATTTTACAGTCAAGCCAGGTCAAGCGTTACCCCGCAAGATTCCATTAATGAATTTATTATTCGAAAGTTGAACCGTCGGCAGTTGTAGATTTCAGATTCATCTCTGTATTCTTGGATGCGTAATGAGCCGTGTATTTACACGCGAGACAGTTATGAAATTTCTACCACCTCATTTTCCCTGAATTTGATGTAAAACTCTTCGAAGCATTTTGTTCCATTCAAAGATTTTCAATCTGACCAAATACAAAGACGTTCTGGTTAAAAAATTCACCGCTCATTACGCATGCAGGAATGCCAATTTGAATCTGACACTAGTTACAGGAACGACTAACGGATTCCTTTTTTAAATAATCAATTCATTAATAGAATTTTGGGGGGTACGGTTGACCTGCCTTGACTGTACTACTTACTGTTGAACTTAGGCCTCAAGTTTCGATCATAACTAGAGAACAGTTTCTTTACTACATCGGAATCCTCGTATTCATCGCTGCAAAAAGAAATACGATGGTTCAGCTGGCGACAAATGCACATAATTCTACGTGTTGCGTATTTATCTGTAGTATCTGCATAACAGTGAGTAATAGGTTACAAAATGGCTACAAATGTATATTTATCTCTCAGACCATCGACTAAAGAAATTATTATAAAACGGGATTTCCCAGATTTTTGCAGTTAAGTGGCAGAAGGTTTTACACTTCAATAATTTAAATCATTTTGACTTCACAGCTCTACTTGGTGTTTGTTCTTTTTCAAAGGTAACACTTCAAAGTAAGCTGCGGGTAATTTGCAATTCCCAGTATTTTCTTTTCTTTTCTTTTTCCATCGTCCTTTGTCCTCAGACGCAAGGAAGCGAGGGCATAAAAGTGAGGAAACCTGTGAAACGTTACTCATATCGTTTAAAGATATTTACCTAGCCCTTCATTTATCATCACGTTGCACAAAATAATTTCAAAATATTCCTGGGTATATTTTACTTACGGTTCTTGCGATGAGATAACAGCGCAAAAGAGACCACCAAGGATTATTACAGATTTCCAGATATCATACATATCACCTAAAAAAAATACCGACTCATTGTGAGTTTGAATATATTATGTCACTAAGCTGTGACTAGGTAAGATCATCATTAGGATTGTATGGAAACCTGCAAGTCAAGCGTAATGTGTTATCGTACATTATAAAATAACTGAGACAGTACGCGCGTTCTGATTGGTTCGTGTTCTCCCAACATCCCGCGTGGGTTATCACGCCGGTAAACCCATAGAAAGTGTAGTCTATTGCTTAAATAAACTAATATTTTTTGGCCAATCAGAAGCAGGACATTCAAATGCTTCAGGTACTGGATTGGTAAGATTGAATGCCTGCCTCTCCAGTTCCTCGTGTAAACTTACCAACCTCGAGAGGTCCTTACAATAAGCTGCTCCTGGATGTCTGAGGATAAAATTCCCTACAATTGAACTAACGTTTAACACTCTCAACAATACCTCACCTGCTAATCAAGTCTTTGACAAAGACACAACTTATTGCCCTGGAATAAGAAACAATAAAAAAAAGATAAATAATAAAAAAGAGGGCTTAGCCAAATAAAAAACCATACTAACAAAATGACCGTAATGAGGTGTTTTCGTGCATGTTTGTAATTTCTATTGTTGGTGGTCCGAGGGCATTTTTTCCCAAATAAAAGCCCCCGGAGGTTTATATCCTTTTTTTCTTACGTAAAAAAAAAACGAAAAAAAAGCAACGAGTGACGAAATGAAGTCAGTTACACTACATTACTTTACCACTGAAAGGTTCACTGGAAACTTTTTATCATAAACTCCGATAAAAGATAGTTACGTTTCTCACCTCATTTCCTTTCCACTGCATGTAGATCGACATATTTTTCTCCTTTTATTCAAGAGGTTTCTCACCACAGTTGCCAGATGAAACTCACAAAACACGAATTAAAATAACTAGTGCCAGCCAGCCTGGCTGGCCATTTTGCAATGATACTTTCAAGCCATCAGTCATTTATTGTCAGTAATAATTATTTCTAGTTTTGCAACATTTCTATGGTGTGACCTTTCAATTGATGACCAAAAGTGTGAATTTAATTCCTTACCTTAAATTAAAGAACTCTCCAAACGGTTAAAGCTTGCGAAAATCGGTAAAACAAATCCTCTTTTTTTCTCGGTTTACACATCAAACACTTTTTATGCAGGCATTAAATTATTAATCTGTTTTAGGGCAAAAGAAAATGATTGTCTCGAGTTCTACCAACTGCTTTACATTACAATTTATACACATTATGTCGCTACTTTACATAACGAAAACCATATATGCAAAATTTTCGCTAAAATCTTTTTAGGAAGACGTAAAAATCAACAATCAAAGACGAAATTATTTTATTCGGTGGAAACCTTAACAGTCAGTCATCAGGCCCCTGCGCCGACATTTTTGATGGACATGCATGAAAAACTCAATCTTAAAATCCACACATACTAAAATATTAACAAACTTTAAAGGATTACCTACCGACCTACAGAACATTCAAAGTTTAATTTTCAGCTCAGTTACATTATTATATTTAACCAGATCTGGTCGTTAACGAGGTTGGGGCCGGGACGCAGATTCGTTACGTAAATATAGTACTTAAGAAATAAATGAGCTTTGATATAAATGCCATGGTCTCAGAAGAAGTTCTTTTAATTTCTTGGCAGATCTGAATATTCAATGTGAACAAATTTCTTCATGAAAAACGCAAATAATTACTTGACTTTGAAGTGTCAGATTTGAAGAAAGAAGCCTTAGTATAACATCTCTTTCCAGAAATGTTTCCAAGTACAAAACCAATAGGCAAACGTATCTTAACACCCACACCACCCTTCCCACCCCTCACCCACAAGTACACACACACACCACTTGCACACGTATTCGTTTTTATCTCTTTATGCTAAATTTATTGCAATTAAAGGTGAGTTCGTCGTACAATAAGATCTAATTAGCTTCCAAGCATCGTCAGTCTAAGTCTAGGACTTAAACTTTTTATAATACAATGTACGTGTATTAAAAATTTATTTATATTTTCAACATTATCTTAAGCCTTTTTTTTACACCTTTTCTTTTGTTTACATTTAGATTCATTTTTTGGAAATACTGCAACCTTCCTCATACCATTTCTAAAAATTGCCTACCTTAAACTATTTATCAAGTATCTAACTGAAAAATAGCAAAATAGCTGGCCAATCAACACAGTCTCCGCGTCCCCCCAACCCCCCATCGTGACATCTTACTTTGACCTTAACATTGCGACCCGAGAAAACGTTTTCAAGTTTTTGGAGTCAATCGGACAAATAATAAAGCCAATAAAACACGTTAAACAAAGTAAAACAAAATGGAAACAAGAACCGGCAAATGTAATCAACGATTTTTCCATAGGTACATGGGGGGCATCGTCTAAAACCTTTCCGGGCATGCGTAGGAGACTCTTCAATCATCTCATCCTCGGCATCGATCTGAGATGGTTCGCCATTGCTTGAGCTAGTACTCTCGCGTTTTTTCAGAGCGATATGTTCCACTCTTGACGCATCCTGAAAGTCATAATTAATAGTGAACAGGACGGAAGAGGGAAGAAGACGGCAAAACTTGTGTGACAAGCGTGACAATAATTTTGTTTGAAATAACTTTTCGCCAAACTTCACTTTCCTTTAAACAGATCTTTTCGTTAAAGACCAGAAAACATTAATGTTAAGTGGGGATCTCGACAAAACACGTAAGTAATAGCCCTGTCACTTTTGTCACACACGGCCGTTTTGCCGTCCTCTTCTTCCTAATATTAATCTTTTAAAGTTAACCCTATTTATACTGGCCAGTTCTTTTAACCCTTTATGAAAAGAGAACTATGGTACAGAGATGGAAACGCCCAGACTAGCCCTTAGGATATACGAGTTTCACCAAAGTTTTTTTTAGATCAATCAAACGCTTAAAATATAAAGGAAGTTGATTTCCGGAGAGGTCCGCAAACTTCTATTTGGTGTTGTCAAGAGAGAATAGAATAGTCGCCATTACAATATTCTGCAATGCTTGCTTTGAGGCAGTCGCGCGTAGACTTTATGACGTTTCAAACAATCAACTGCCCACCTACCCCTCCCTTAAGCCATCATTATCACATCATTATCATCAATCATCATTGGCTCAGGGGAGGGGTAGGTGGGCAGTTTCCCAGAAAGCTAAATTGATCCAAATGTTCCACGTCTCTGCAGGAATTAGACTTCCGCTTTATTACAAACTCTAAAAAAAAACTTTAGTGAAATTTACATATCCTGCCCAGCTCCCTAAGATTTCCTCCATTATACTTTCTTGCTTTTATCGGTTCATTTTACCTTTCTGGGAAACTGCCCACCTACCCCTCCCCTAAGCCAACATTAATACTTACTTCTACTTAAGGCAAAATGTTGGCTTAGGGGAGGGGTAGGTGGGCAGTTTCCCATAAAGGTAAAATGATCCCTTTTATCTTGGGGTGGTGTGGGGAGGGGGGAGGGTCCGAAGCCCACCCCTATTCTCACGAAGCCAAAGAAAAAAGCTCGGTCTAGACATCGCGTTGCTAACACGCTAACAATTTTACTGAATTATTGCCCATTAGGGGGTTGCTGCGGCAATCTTTTCTTTGATTTTCTTATGAATATTGTTGAGTAAAATAACCCTTTAGACTTGAGACTAGTTTAACTTTCTTACCTGCTTTTAGCTCAGTTGTTTTTGTATTATTGATAGTGCTTAACCCTTTAAGCCCTAAGAGTGATCAGCATCAAATTTCTCCTTGTAATATCAATGGTTTGTAAAACAGAGTGGTCAAGGGAATTACGGACATGATCACACAAGATGAATAGGCCACTTACACTAAGAGGTCACGTGGTCAATGCTTTCTTTAAACAATGAGTTAGAATCTTGCTGATGCCAAAAATTGACAGAGCACGTAAAAATTATCTTACACCTGGAAGTTGTGAGGAAACGCATTTAAGAGATATTTTATGGCAGTTTGATTTTTCAACAAAGTAGTATGATTTGTATTGGCCTCCAACATGGCGGCCAACACTACTTTTTGCTTATGTCTTGTTAAACGTTGAATTTTAGTCACGTGACCATTAATTTACGAACTTACTCATTTTAAGAAAATGGTGAGGGTTTGAAAAGCCAAATCACTATTACTTTGTTTAAGATATGACCCACAAATCCATTTTCGAAGGCGAAATCATATAACTTTCATTTTCATAAAAACGATCTCCAGGGTTCTACCTATAGAATTTGAGGGGTAGAAGCTTCCCCCCCAAAATGAATACCCAGCTTCCCCCCAAAAAATATTGTTATCACTACGGTATATAGGTAACTATATTGGAAAAATCATTCAGACATGACAAGGTCATTGCACACAGTGTAACATTTCTCAAAATTGTGTCCCAAAATGCACCAGATTGCATCTCAGTGCATATTCCTTTCAAAAAATTCCCGGGGGTGCTTGTCCCTGGACCGCCCTAGGAAGATTGTTGCCTTCGGTCAATCGGGACTTCTCCCCCAAAAGATAAATCCTAGATAGAAACCTGATGTCACATGATCTCTCAGTGCAAATGGCCTATTTGCTTCATATTTTATCAACTTCTCCCCACTACTTCTGTAGGAAATGAATAGGGGCAATAAATAAATTCGTTTTTATCTCTTTATGCTAAATTTATTGCAATTAAAGGTGAGTTCGTCGTACAATAAGATCTAATTAGCTTCCAAGCATCGTCAGTCTAAGTCTAGGACTTAAACTTTTTATAATACAATGTACGTGCATTAAAAATTTATTTATATTTTCAACATTATCTGAAGGCTTTTTTTTTTACACCCTTTTTTTTGTTTACATTTAGATTCATTTTTTGGAAATACTGCAACGTTCCTCATACGATTTTTAAAAATTGTCTACCTTAAACTATCTATCAAGTATCTAACTGAAAAATAGCAAAATAGCTGGCCAATCAACACAGTCCAACCCCCCATCGTGACATCATACTTTGACCTTAACATTGCGACCTGAAAAAACGTTTAGTCAATCGGACAAATAATAAGACCAATAAAACACGTTAAACAAAGTAAAACAAAATGGAAACAAGAACCGGCAAATGTAATCAACGATTTTTCCATAGGTACATGGGGGGCATCGTCTAAAACCTTTCTGGGCATGCGTAGGAGACTCTTCAATCATCTCATCCTCGGCATCGATCTGAGATGGTTCGCCATTACTTGAGTTAGTACTCTCGCGTTTTTTCAGAGCGATGTTTTCCACTCTTGACGCATCCTGAAAGTCATAATTAATAGTGAACAGGACGGAGGAGGGAAGAAGACGGCAAAACTTGTGTGACAAGCGTGACAATAATTTTGTTTGAAATAACTTTTCGCCAAACTTCACTTTGCTTTAAACAGATCTTTTCGTTAAAGACCAGAAAACATTAATGTTAAGTGGGGATCTCGACAAAACACGTAAGTAATACCCTGTCACTTTTGTCACATACAACCGTTTTGCCGCCTTCTTCTTTCTAATGTTGATCTTTTAAAGTTAACCCTATTCATACTGGCCAGTTCTTTTATCCCTTTATGAAAAGAGAATTATGGGACAGAGATGGAAACGCCCAGACTAGCCCTTAGGATATAGGAGTTTCACCAAAGTTATTTTTAGACCAATCAAACGCTTAAAATAAAAAGGAAGTTGATTTCCGGAGAGGTCCGCAAACTTCTATTTAGTGTTTTCAAGAGAGAATAGAATAGTCGCCATTACAATATTATGCATTGCTTGCTTTGAGGCAGTCGCACGTGGACTTTATGACGTTTCAAACAATCAACTGCCCACCTACCCCTCCCTTAAACCATCATTATTACTTACTTCTCACTTAGGGCAAAAAGTTGGCTTAGGGGAGGGGTAGGTGGGCAGTTTCCCATAAAGGTAAAATGATCCCTTTTATCTTGGGGTGGTGTGGGGAGGGGGGAGGGTCCGAAGCCCACCCCTAGTCTCACGAAGCCAAAGAAGAAAGCTCGGTCTAGACATCGCGTTGCTAAGCACGCTAGCAATTTTACTGACTTAGTGCCCATTTGTTGTTGCGGCACTCTTTTGTTTAATTTTCTTATAAATATTGGTAAGTGAAAGAACCCTTTAGATTTGAGACTAGTTTGACTTTCTTGCCTGCTTTTAGCTCAGTTGTTTTTGTATTATTGATAGTGCTTAACCCTTTAAGCCCTAAGAGTGATCAGCATCAAATTTCTCCTTGTAATATCAATGCTTTTTAAAACAGAGTGGTCACGAGAATTACGGACATGATCACACAAGATGAATAGGCCACTTGCACTAAGAGGTCACGTGACTAATGCTTCCTTTAAACAATGAGTTAGAATCTTTCTGATGCCAAAAATTGACAGAGCACGTAAAAATTATCTTACACCTGGAAGTTGAGAGGAAACGCATTTAAGAGATATTTTATGGCAGTTTGATTTTTCAACAAAGTAGTATGATTTGTATTGGCCTCCAACATGGCGGCCAATACTACTTTTTGCTTATGTCTTGTTAAACGTTTGAATTTTGATCACGTGACCATTAATTTACGAACTTACTCATTTTAAGAAAATGGTGCGGGTTTGAAAAGCCAAATCACTATTACTTTGTTTAAGATATGACCCACAAATCCATTTTCGAAGGCGAAATCATATAACTTTCATTTTCATAAAAACGATCTCCAGGGTTCTACCTAGGGTATTTGAGGGGTAGAAGCTTCCCCCCCAAAATGAATGCCCAGCTTCCCCCAAAAAAATATTGTTATAACTACGGTGTATAGGTAACTATATTGGAAAAATCATTCAGACATGACAAGGTCATTGCACACAGTGTAACATTTCTCAAAATTGTGTCTCAAAATGCAACAGATTGCATCTCAGTGCATATTCATTTAAAAAAATTCCCGGGGGTGCTTGTCCCTGGACCCCCCTAGGAAGATTGTTGCCTTCGGTCAATCGGGACTTCTCCCCCAAAAGATAAATCTTAGATAGAACCCTGATGTCACATGATCTCTCAGTGCAAATGGCCTATTTGCTTCATATTTTATCAACTTCTCCCCACTACTTCTGTAGGAAATGAATAGGGGCAATAAATAAGAATTCGATTTTTTTTATCTTAGGGTTTAAAGGTTTAATGAAGGGGCTTCCCAGTTTGTCTGTAAATAGCAGCTGCAAGGCCATCATTGAATTTAATTTCAACAACAATTCGTTATGCCCACCTGAAGATTATTTATGGTGCTCATTTCCAAATCCCGGTCTTTTCCTTGCGCGCTGTTCTTGGAATCTCGATTTCTTGGACGCAAAATGTACACCAGGATGCACTCCACCAAAACGAGGAAGACAAACAGAAAAGACCCGAGCAGGTACCAGTCAATGGCCTTGAGATAACTAACACGAGGTTGCGACATGCTTACAGAGCCCAGCAGAAACATGATAGCCAGTACGGTTGTGATACCCAGGCCAACTCTATCACTCATGTCTCTTGGGTCCAACCAGAACACTGTCCAACTCATCACAACCACAAGGATGCCTGGGAAAAACACTTGGATGATGTAATAACCAAGGCGTCGTTTAAAGTTAAAGCTGATGGTAAGTACGCTGTAAGTCCCTATGGATTTGAGGAACACTTGACACTTAGTGAAATAAAGGAGACCCTTTAGGCTGCGTGCAAACGGATACACGGGGATTTATGGTTCATTTATGAGCTTACTGTAACCCACCCATAGCCCATGATATGAATGCTGCGTGATGCTTGAAAGGTAGACCACATAGTGTGGGTTCTTTTACGTCGTCTTCGATTTGACTAATGAAAGAAGGATGAAGGAGAGAAGGCAAACAGCTTAATGTCATCGCCCAATGACGCGATCATCTTAAATCACAGCCAGCTTGATCTTACCAGTTTTTTTAAATACCCTGTCTTTTTTTTAATACCCTGGTTTTTTTTAATACCTTGGGGTCAATTTAGTAAAACTTTTACACGTGTAATTTACAAGTGTAGCAATTGTTTTAGAGTCTGAGATCAATAGCTACACTTGTAAATTACACGGGTAAACGTTTTATTAAATTGACCCCTGGTTGTTGGTTCGGCCGGGGTTTGAACCCACAACCTCCCGATCGGCAGACCGTTGTTCTAACAACTGAGCTAAGCGGGCAGCGGTTGATACCGCACGCTAAAGTTATGGAATAGGACCATTAGAAAAGAATTTTTAAATTGTAGGTACATTTATCACTAACCGCTGACATAGAGTTCAGTGATTGAGTTCAGTTCCACTTCATTCATGTCAAATTGAGCGATGCTCTTCTTTTCCACTTCCCCCGTGCTGTTTTTCCATTTGTAAATCACGTCGTCTTTTTTATAGCTATCTAAAGAAAAGTAAATTCCCAATACACTGCTATATCAATAGTCTTGATGTGTAACCCATTAATTTCACATAGTTCAATTGCATCATGTGCACTTACATCGGCGGAAGGCGGATTGGCAAAATACCACCAGTGGATAAGAGGGCAGCTATGACAAAATGGGTACAATTTTTCCAAGACTGTTTGTTTTTAAAACAGCCACCCTACAAACATCCAACTAATGCCAAAATCGTCTCTTGAAGAAATATTTTTTCATTAAAATCAAGGATACTTAAAATATTTTAAATTAAATCACAACAAACAAACCGAGACATTCATTGTCTGCTGTAAACTACGCCAGGCATACACAAACTATCTACAAAAAATTTATTTCAAAATAAGCCACTTATAGACAGTTTCGGATGTTCAATGGCTTTCTTAAACTGCGGTCTAAGTTAGACTTTGTGGAGTAAAAAACGCCTACTTACAACTCGATAAATTCAAACTGCATTTTTGAGTGTCCATTGGAAAGTGCTCCAATCTCATGTCGCAAGCGGCAACGATCTTGTAACTGAAATACACGGACACAAGTTAGTTCAAGGTCATCTAGACTGACACCATACCAACCCCCATCCTAGGCTCGGGGGGAGGGCTCAATTATTGAGCAGCGGCTGGTAATCAAGCCTACCCCCTACCTTCTCCTATACAGCCCTTTCCAATTTTGGGTGGTGGTTTGGCCTTTTGCGGGGAGCAAGGGGTGGTGCAGTGGTGAGAGCACTCGCCTCCCACCAATGTGGTCCGGGTTCAAATCCTGGCGTCGACGCCATATGTGGGTTGAGTTTGTTGTTGGTTCTCTCCTTTGCTCCGAGAGGTTTTTCTCCTGGTACTCCGGTTTTCCCCTCTCCTCAAAAACCAACATTTCCAAATACCAATTCGACCAGGAATCAGGTAGACGAAGAACCACTTTGTGGATGTGCTACCTCCAAATCATTATTATTTATTTGTTTTGCTGTTAAAACAATCTGGAATACTAAACTTAATGGAGTGAGCTCTCGAAAATGCCGACATGTTGACCACCACTTATTTATTTATAAATTTATAAAAATGATTTATAAAAAACGGTTTGGGAGGTAAAAACTAAACGTGCTTTCATTCTTGAAAATTTTCCTGAACTGGTCAGACTAGTCAGAAGCACTGTCCAGATCTGTCATCAGTATGGATTATTTCACTCTTCGCTCGGAGTCATTTCAATTGTTGAGATCACTTTTTGCATAGTGGCTGAAGAAACCCAATATGGCACTCACCCCACTAATCCACAATGGAATTAAAACCAACCTTCTCGAATAAAAAATCGTTCCATTCGGATGGATCTCGAATAAACTCCCTACATCAGAGTTCTCGGCCATAAGATTTGATTCTCTCATGTTAGTGACGTAGGTGTCAGGGATCCACGCACACTCAATTGTCGAACCTTTAAGACGAAAAGTCTCATTGAATTTGCTAGCAAATCGCTTGTCAGTCCAGTAATAGCGAATGTAGCCAAACACTGTGTACTCCTGTTAAAACGAAGAGACAGACAAGAATGAAAATGGACTGCTATAGAGAATAATTATACTGAACATGATGATGATGCTGACCATCAATATCATTATCGTTACCGTTATAACCGTCATTGTCTTTGTCATTATTATTTTTGTTTTATTGTTATTATTATTATTATTACCATTCTTATCATTGTACGGAAACAGCACTATCCATGTTTCACAACACGAACTGACTCGATTAAATCTAGATTCCAAATTTCGTGCTCTTTGAGGAATCATGCACTCTTACTATCCAAAAATTGATATCATGTGACTTACCATATTGGCTTCAGCAATGTTAGCAAATGATTCAACGTACAGATCAAGTTCTACTGTGAGTGGGCCAACTGTAACACAAACATGTTCATGATTAGGTAGACCCTCTGGGGTATAGAGGTACAGTGGCAGCCGTCACACTAATGTAGATCTTCAGTTTGGCATATGAATAAATTAGGAACACCAATTAGCCCCGGCCCGGCTCCGGCTCTCAGATCCACCACAATAGAGTTCAAAAGTAATGACGTCATGAAAATTAAATTCGTGAAATTATGGGATTTGTCAGGATATTCTAAAAGGAAACATCCAAGAGTCCTATTTTCCAAACGTTTAGACCCAAGTCTCGCCCCATGTAAGGTAATCCAAGAGAGTCTTGGATTCCGGATTCCACATCCGCGGATTCCGGATTCCATAAGTGGCTGGATTCCAGATTTCAAAATTCTATTTTCTGGTTTTCAACGTTTCCTTTGTACTTTGTTTTCACCAAAAAAGCTTGTTCTTTTTTTACCCGAAGTGCACATTGTCTTATATAAAATATAAGTATAAAATATAATTCTTGGCCTTACCCGAGAGGATTATGAATATGGGAGCGGTTTCTGAAGTCCACTGAGTCCACATCGTTGAAGAAATACTAACGAGGAAGGGCTATTCTTATTTTAATAATAACAACGGCGTCAACAATAACAAAAGAGGTACACATTGCCAAAATCAGTGCTTTTCAGGTTCAAACATAATTCGTCTCCGAATTGTTTAATTGCCACACAGAAATGTAAAACTTCAGTTACAGCTTACCAACAAATAGCGTGAAGATAGTCCAATTACTATACTACAAGCTACGCAGGCAACGGAAACGTTTATCTCAGAATAAACCGTGTCGTTCTCCGTCCTGATAAACTAACTCCCGGCAGTCTTATCGGGAGGGATACTTCTCCCTCATCCTCTGCAGTTGGTGGTGCAGTTTCATTCTCATTGTCATCATCGTCACCGTAGTCCCCATTAGCAATTCGACAGAGCCTGTTATCCTCCTCTGTTGTTAAAATGATGTCTGATCCATCGGAAGAAAAGTCGAGTACTCGGGTTAGAATGCACTTGGGGGAATTCCCATTACAGACATCACCGGAGGTGTATGTTAGTGAATCACTTGTTTGGTTTAGCCACTTTAGGGATACTCTTTGCTGCACAAAATTTCCACCATTCACTTCTATTTGTACATCCTCCAGAAGAACTGCTAACCAGAAGGGTGAGATCTCTCTTCTACGGTTGTGTCTTACTGCCAATATGTCGTCTTTCTGGTAAATGGTTTGCACCCGTACAGCCGTACTCCGCAATGCCACATTAGCATCCACAACTTGGCAGGCTGTTGTTACGTCTTCGCTTTCCTCTAATGAGGCTGTGATGGTAGTGGGACACATACTAAGGGCATAAGGAAGGGTGCCAGTTAGCTCTTTCGTTTTTGAGCGGACATTTTCCTGTCTTACGCCTCTTCCATACTCCTTAGCAAATTCTCGCATCACAGTTTCTCGCCTTGTGTCTTCTTCTTTGCTACCTGTTCCTTCAGTGATTGCTGACAGCTTGTTTGGTCGCGTCTTGATGTTTGGGGGTTCACCTTTGATAATTTTCTCCGGATAATATGAATTGGGCCCAGTGAAATATGAGAAATCCTTCTGGTAAATGCGCAGCATATCGTCTTCCACGCAGCGCGCTCTTCTGTAAGCGTAGTTAGCCACTGTAGGCATGTCGTGGTCTGCTCGCATTCCTTTGAAATAGCATTCCACGCCCAAAGTTGTCATACTTTCGAAACAGATCCTGTCCAGAAGGTGACTATGCCCAATCTCCGTTAGCGTGTTGGTAAGGCTGGTCAGCGATTCTAGCACTATGAGGAAGGACTGTCGGGTGCATCGAGGTATGGTCATGTCGGGACCGTTGGTATTTCGCTTGCCCGTCCTCTCCAGGGCTTCCTGTTCGTGGTTAGAGAGAAATGCAACCAACTCCTCGACAGATTTCACATGATCTTCAAATGTACGTGGTAGGTCTTCTTCTTTGGCTTTCTTGTCGAGTCGGAACACGTTTGCATATTGGGCCATCTTACTTTGCAGGGGGATCAGTCCCTTTGCTGACGTCAACATTCTTATTGCTACGTTACCGGTATCGCATACGAAAACAGTGTTTCGATATACGCATAAAGCAGTAGGCTTGTTCCATCGACTTTGGACACCATCACGATGGCCTGCAGTTTCTCCACACACTTTTGTTAGGGTTTCTTTACCCCCAAGCATCTCTTCTTCCTTCAAACTGAACAGTGCGTGTTCTTTGCTGGAGGACAAGAACACGGTTCCACCATCTGTCACTGCAATACCCATGAGGCCTGGAATATTCGAAATTGTTCTCAGTTTCAATCGTCCTCTCACTTGACAAAGATGAATACATGAACCATTCCCGTCTCCAACTAACAAGTATTGCTCGTCACGTGTTAAGGCTAATGAAGTTAATAAACTAGATCGATCAAAACAAAACAATTCATTTAACTGGCCGACGCAGTTAGTTTCCTCATCGTCTACAACACCAGAAATTGAAAAAATCTTGCCAAGACCAACGTCTGACACAAACAGTTCAACGCTACCCTTTGCAGACGCACATATGGCAAATGGTGACACCAGATCCGGTACATTACCTTCAGAAATAAGGGAAAGATCGTGTACATGGACTTTACGGATACGTCTACCGGCGCAATCTTCTTCCTCACTTTGGCTTTCTTCGGCGCTCCCTTGTACAATCTGGGAAGCGTGACAGAAAAGCGTTCGCAAATTGACTACTCTAACTCTTCCGTTTCCTTGGTCACAAACGTACAGCTTCCCGCTCTCTTTCACCGCAATACCAGCTGGGTTTCTAAATCTGGCCTTGTTGCCATATCCATTAGTGTGCCCGGGCTCACCACCACCAGCGATTAATGTGACATTTGCTGGACAGTGCATGTCAACCATGAAGACTGCATGGAGACGTCTATCGGTAATAAACAGCCTGCTATGCTTTGGGGAGAATGCCAATCCTACCGGGTAGCTTAAAAGAGAGGCCCCGTTCTTTTTCCAGTGCTTGAATTCCAGTTCTGGAACTAATGTTGTGCTCACTCTTTCATCTGGAATGGAATCTTGAATCGCTTTCCGGTGAATCTCCACTGCTGTTTCTACATCCATCCGATCTTTGTTTCGAACTGCTTTCAATGAAACTGATTTCTTGATGTCTTCGTATTCTCTACGTAGCACCAAAAGCAGCCTTACATTCACTAGGTATCCATCAATGTCAATCCAATGCCAAAACTCTGCAGAACGTACTGACTTGATGTTGTGTGGGCAGTCAGGAATAGGGACTTGGTAGGGGTACTTCGCCCTGTCTGCTAGCATGGAATTCATAAAGCTCTTTTGCTTGGGATCGCAGTCAGTGGCCCAAACCAATAGGAACAGTCTTGTGCATACTTTATCTTCTCTCATGCACAAACTACAAGGGCGAAGAAGACCTTTTCAAGCAATTTCCGGAGCTCTACGGTGAAGTAAATTCGATAATTTACTTTGGATTCACTTTGGTATGTTCGTTTCATTGATCAAATGCTCTATTTAATTAGCATGTCTGTAAATGGTATGGAAACGCTGTCACCTTCGAATATAATTTTGATCACAGAAACGCTTCAGTAAGTGTTCGCACAACCACCGCTTTTTGAGCAGAAAACACGAATAGAACAAACAACGACAACTCCACAGACCTTGAACTTTTCTTTTCTTTCTCCGCTTTTCTCTCTTTCTTTCTTGGACTCCTGTACATAAATTTGCAAGATAGTTAGCTCATAATTCTGAACATGATAGAAACAGACAGATATAGCTGCTCGAAGTTTTAGATTACTGTTTCACACATTCTGATCTATTCAAAACCACGCCGCCAAAACATTTCCATCACAAAGTCACAAACACCGAATTTATAGACGTACGTACCTTTCCGACTCATGCTTTTTCTTGTGCTTCCCCATGCTGACAAAGATTGATAACGATCGATTGAGAAAAAAATTCAAAGTGATCTCTCGAGATGTCTGATTTCGACTGATTGAATCTGGACTGAATGAAAGACACCACGTCGACACCACGTGCAGCATGTCATTCTTTGAGTGACACTGATGACATGTGCCTGAAAGAAGCCAGTAACTGCAACCACCGCGACTACTGATACTACGGCCAAGAATAAGGATACTTTATATTATTATTCTTTTGACGTTACCTGAAATCCAAAAATTAGTTCCAATTGCGCCCAAACAGGAAAAGAATCTAAACCTCCGACTCCAAAAGCGCAACGGGGAAAAAGGTCGAAAGGGTGTCTTATAAAGAGCGATAATATACAGTAATATGAATCACTCCCTGGGATTCTGTCACGTCATTATAATGTGACCATTGTTTCAAATTGATACCCGATATGTCACAATGACAAGGGATGTTCCTGCGAGTGAAACACGCGTGAACATGCCTGTTGCGCGTCCTTGCGACATGAGATTTTCACGCAACAGTCGCTAAAGGAAAAGAAGAGGCCCTGGAACCATCACAACAGAGTGGATTCCAGCAACCTGGATTCTGGATTACAATGCTTGGATTCCGGATTCCATTAGCTGGATTCCGGATTCCAAAGCCGTGGATTCCGGATTCCACAGACCAAAATTACCTGGATTCCGGATTCCGGATTACCTTACATGGGGCGACAAGTCAACTTTAGAAGGATTTGTATGGAGTCATCAGAGCATTACTGGGCTAACTTGCCTCACAATGCTTGATTTTGGCAAGTAGGCCTCTTGGATGTTGTCCTTTTAGAAAATCGTGACAAATCCCATAATTTCCCAAATTTAAGTTACATGACGTCATCACTTTAGAACTCTATGGCGCTGCTTATAATGGCCCACCCACTGAAGCTGCACTCCGAAAGAAGTACCTCTTTTTAGTCTAGATAAGTGATGCAATGTCCGTGAGTAAATATCTTTAATTTGATAATTCGTTAAATATTATTTACGGAAGCCTTATTGCCTATAAGCCGCATGTTTTCCCTAGGGTTTCCGGCCTCGCCATTGGGCGGCCATTAGAAATTTTTCGTAGAGTACCTTTTTCTACCTCTTCTCGGGAGTTTTCCCACCTATGGCAACTTCATACAATTGGCGGATGAAATAATCACTTCACTCCCGCTTCATAACCCATCCATCCCTTCATCCTGTTAACATTTAATATGCACCAAGCAAAATATTTTAAGTGGTAATTATGTTACAGGGAAACATGTAGAATGATTTAAGAAGAACATTCAATCTCCTATAATCTTGATGAACAAAACGAATATAGCTACCTCCTTGATTTGGTCTAACGTCTTTGTCGTAGTTAGAGAACAGAATTTCTAGAGTTGTATTCCTCCTTGGATTTTCTGATGAGCTATCGAGAGAAAAAATGTATTCATTTCATAGATATAATAGTGTGTCATCTTTGTACGACCTAATAGTCCGAACAGTAGAAAATAACCTGGATTCATGCTCGAGGTCACGTGTTATGCGTAAACGACTTTTGAAAAAATGTGTTTGTGAATAAAATTAAATTCAAATATTAATTTAAGTTTCTTGCTGTTGGAGGCCCTAAGCAAGCTTACATACCAGTTATTTCATGCCGGGCTCACAGGTCAATGGCGTATTAATGACATAAAAGCCTTTTCTGAGAAAAACGGACCATGATCCAAGATGGCGGCCAAGGTGGCAGCCGTGATAAATGACTTCATAGGTCTTCAGCTGCGGTTATCACTCTTGTCTAGCGCGAGCAATAGAATATCGTTAATTATCATTTTCAGGCTAGATGCACGCAGTAAACTACTTGGCGCAAAAGCCTGAAGGTAGACAGATAGATTAATTTTCGAAGAAAATAGTTTTATTTCCTAACATGTTCTTACTTTATGATTGGTTTAAATAGGTATGTATGCAGAAACGGAAATACATAATTGACCGGACGTTCAATTTTTTGCGTTTCCACGGCACGTTTCGCCGCGGTGTTATTGATAAGACGTCATGTAGAGCTCTTTGCAGGCATATATTAACAAAGCAAATTACCTCAGTGGGGTTCTAAG